TCCGGAGCTAATATATTGAAAAATGAAGCAATTAATTCCAGTATGAATGCTCTATCTGATATTGCAACTGGAGCAAATATAAGAGAAGTAGTTCAGGATCGGGGTAAGGAAATTTTAAAAAATGTGAGACGTGGAGCAGTTCGTAAGTTAAACGAAATGTATGGATCTGGAAAAAGAAAAAGAAAAACTATAAAAAGGCGCCTCATTAAAAAAATCGACTATTTTGCTTCAAAGCGACGAAAAGTTAATAGCAAAAGAAAAAAAGTTGATATTTTTGATTAATTATGATTGAATGTATGAAATCAGAATTGGATATTTTTAGAACAAAGCCAATTCAATCTAGTATTTTAAGATCTGAAGAAGTTTCATACAATCCTATTGCTTCTTTAGATAATCCATCAACTATTGAATTTGTCTCATTAGGTCATGGTGATACATACAGAGATTTATCTTCTACATATCTTAGATTAAAGGTACAAATTGTTAAAAAAGACGGAAACCATTGGAATAACGACAAAGGTGCCGACGGAAAAACATTGCCCCAACCAAGTGTAGTGAATAATCTTCTACACTCAATAATAAAACAGTGTAATGTTCAATTTAACGGAAAAAGTATTACCCCGTCAGATGGAAATTATCATTACAGAGCATACATTGAATCATTATTAAATTATGGTACGGATGCCGCTACTACTCATTTAGAGTGTGCTGGATGGTGTTTAGATAAACCAAACATAGCAAAACCAGATAATAATGGATCAAAAGAACGTCAAAAACTTTATCACAACAGCAATATCGTAGAGCTAATGGGTAAACTACATTTGGATATGTTTAACCAACCGACTCTTTTAATAAACAACGTTGATGTGAGAATTACTTTAACACTTGAAAAACCAGATTTTTATATTTTTGCAGACGATGCTGATGAATCTCAGTTAAAAATTTTGGAAGCTACATTATTTATGAAGCACGTAACAATAAACCCAAGTGTACTACTAGCCCATAATGCTGTTCTAGAAAAATCTAATGCCAAGTACAATTACAAACGTGTTGAAGTAAAAAGTTTTACAATTCCTTCTAATACATCAACTATTTCACTTGATAATGTCTTCATTGGGCAATTACCCAACACCATAATTTTTTGCCTTACAGAAAATGTTGGCTACTCTGGAAAAAGATCAAAAAATCCATATAATTTTCGACATTTTGATATGTCCCAGTTTGTATTGTATGTAAATGGTGTACAAGTACCAAACACAGCAATTGAAACAAGTTTTTCAGATGAAAATAATTGTCATACTCGTGCATACCATACACTTTTCTCTGGTACAGGAATTTATCATAATGACAAAGGACATCAAATATCAAAATCTATGTTTAGTAGTGGATTTTTCATCTTGGCTTTCGATTTGACACCAGATGCATCAGGAAATGAGATATGTCAGGGTCTATTTAATCAAGGTACAATTAGAATTGAGGCAAGGTTATCTAAAGCGCAATCATCTGTATTGACTGCTATTGTCTATGGAGAATTTGATGCAAGTATTGAAATTGACAAAAATAGAAATATTTTCACAAACCTATAAATAGAACAATTACATAAATGGTTTTAATATTCAAGATGATGTCATCGTCTTATGCACTTGTTGATATAACGTTTTGTTGTGACGACAAGAATACCTTATTTGTAAAAGATATTTGCTTAGTTGGGATTCAAGAAAAATGCAAAAAAATTGTAAAGGAGTTTTCTTACAAATTTCCAACTAAGGAACTAATATATGAAAATTTTGAAAACTATTCGTTTGGAACTTTGATTAATGACAATATAAGCTATGAACTTAAAGAAATATTAAAAAAATTCAGCGTGATATTGACTAACGGAAAAATCAAAAAGGATTTCATTTCGCATTACATTAAAGAAAACAGTACAGTTTATGATTTAAGTGAATTAAATTTATGAATACTTTAGATATTATAAAATATTTAAATTGCAATAAATATACAAGAAAAAAATTTAGAGGTGTATTTGCTTTAGATCAAATACCAAAAAACCTTGAAAGATCTTCCCTTATAATTATAAATACTGATAAAGCAAAAGATCCTGGCGAACATTGGTTAGCCATATATATTCCAAAATATGGTTGTGTTGAATACTTTGATTCTTATGGAGGTTTACCAAATAAAAAGGAAATTTTAAGTTTTTTAAAAGATAAATGTATTGTTTTCAATGACAAACAATTACAAAGCACCTTTTCAGAAGTTTGTGGAGAATACTGTTGCGTGTATGCATGGTATAGATGTTTTGGTATAAGTATGAATAATTTTTTACGTGAATTTAAGAAACGCAACCATATTAAAAATGATCAAATAGTTTTAAGAAAATTTCACAAAATATTTGGAAAGCAGAATATTCAGAGATGTGTTTCTAGAAATCATGTTATATAAAAGATGAAATGTCTCAATTAAAATGCAGTTTAAAAAACAGATAGCTAGATCAGCACTACTTAATCAGTGTTTCTTAAAAACATGTTGTTGGCGTATACTTATTTTTTAAACAAAACACATACTGTAAAAGTAGTAATAGGATTCCACGTAGAATTATTAGAAGCAACCATTTCAATACACCGTATTGGAAAAAAGGAAATTTTTGTAAATTATGAAGATTGGGTGGAATTTTATCAGCAATTTCAAACAAAATATAAAAAAAAATTTATAAATAACAAGGTCTCTTGTCTACAATTTGGAATAAAAACAAAAAATTTACAAACTTTCGTGTTAAGGAGCGAAGAGATGGATGAATTTCATATCCTAATTGATTTTATTCATTTGGTAATGGATTACAACCACAAGGCTGAAGAAGGTGTAAAAGACTATGTAAGGAAATATATAAGACAATGTGTAGAAAACAATGAAATCATACTAAAAAATGAAATTTATATACCATTAGATCGATTTAACTTTCAATGTAATTATTCTAGATTGTTTTATGAAATTCCGTTTTTACTTAAAAATAAGATAAAAAAATATTTAGAAATAAATAAAAGCACTATGCTACTAGACTAATATGTTACTTGTATTTTATTTTTTCTTTTATTTACATTATTTTTGTGTTATTTAAAACATGAGTAATTGTAAAAATAATAAAAAGCAAACATAAAAACACCATATACAGCATGAGACATTTACAGCAATTCCAGCAGAACGAATTTGGTTCCGAAATCGATTCTTCTTCCTTATCTAACATAATTGAAACATTATCTCTCCTCGGTAATTGAGTATCCATTCTTATTTCTTTAGTAAGTTTTAAAAACTTGTTATGCTTCTACGATTGTCAATTGTAATATACTAAAGCTTTTCTTAATTAGAATTGTGTTTTTAAGAAGCTACTAAAAGATATTATAATAATCTGGATCACCTTCCTGGTTATTTCCGTCCCAAAGGTCTTCATCTTGGTTTGCGTTATCGTTATCATTGTTTCTATATTGTTGTCCTGGTGGAATAAACTCTTGAGTTAATATTAACTCCTCATCATCAACGGTTGATGTGACTTCATTTACTTGGATGGGTAGATTTTCACAAGTTTGATTCCTGTGATTACACATCTCATTTGAAACACTAGTTGAATCTGCTTCCATTGTATTAGTACGCACACAAAATCAAATTGAAAATGTGACGTACGTGAACTAAACCGTCATTTTTATATCGGAATTGGAAAGCTCCCAACTTATATAAATAGAAAAATTTTCTGCAATTTTATCATTTAAAAAAATGGACGTTAATCAGTTTCTAAATGTATATGATTCAGTAATTTTAGACGAACATAAAAAACGAATTTTATATTTAAACAACTATTTAAAAAAATTTCAAAATAAACTACATATAACTTCTTCTATACACGGAAGCCATTTTACTATTTGCCCTTGGGCTTGCAACGATACTACATCTGGACCTGATACTTGTGAATGCCATACAATAGAAAAATACAAAATTGAAGTTGCAAAATTGATTAATTGGTACGAAAAATATGTCAAGAGCTCAAATAGTGTCAGAAATTCATAGACCGGCTCGAAAAAATTACCGGAGGAGAAGATTTCTACAAAAAGGTTTAAATGATACATGGCAAATTGACTTAGTTGAAATGATTCCTTATGCAAAGTTTAATAAGGGCAAAAAATATATGTTAACTGTTATAGATACCTTTTCTAAGCACGCATTTGCTGAACCGGTAAAAAATAAAACTGCTGATAATGTTTTACAAGCTTTTAAAACAATTATAAAACGAAGTAAAACTGTACCAAAAAATATTCATTCAGATCAAGGGAAAGAATTTTTTAATATCAAATTCAAAAATTATATGCGGGAGAAAGGAATTAATCATTACCATACGTTTTCGGATCTTAAGGCGTCTATTGTAGAACGCTTTAATCGTACTTTAAAAAATTTGATGTGGAGAAAGTTTAGCTTACAGGGTAGTTACAAATGGATTACTATATTACCGTCTTTATTAAAAATATATAACTCAACCCCCCATAGAAAAACCAAGCTACCACCTGGAAAAATTTCTAAAGAAAATGAAGAATTTATTTTAAAAAAATTTTATGCAGAGCCTAAAATTTATCAAAAACATAAATATAAAGTAGGAGACTATGTTAGGATAAGTAAATATAAAGGAATATTTGAAAAAGGTTATAATGCAAATTGGTCTACTGAAATTTTTAAAGTTATTAAAGTACATAATACATATCCAGTTACTTATGAGTTGCGTGATTATCAGAGTAATGATATATCTGGTAAATTTTATGAACCTGAATTAACACCTGTTAAAAATTCTGACGCCTATTTAGTAGAAAAAATCCTAAAAAAACAGGGCAATAAAATTTTTGTAAAGTGGTTGGGATTTGACAGTAAACATAACAGCTGGATTAATAAAAAAGACTTAATTTGAAATTACTTGTACATTTTATTATAATAAATTTCGTTTTATAAAATTACATGACTATTTATTGAGTTATCTTTCTTCTTTTATAACCAAATGGCAACGAACTGTAATCAGGCAAAAATCTTCGCTTTTCGGATTTTGGTTGATATGTTTTGGTTTCAGACACCGTAATGAGTTCATGTTCTTTTGTTCTTCGAATATTGTCAGAAAGTATGGAAATATTTTCAAAATTGTTTAAATTTAAAACAGCTTCCTTCATCGTTTCAAAATTGATTTTGTGTGAAGCGTCGTAGTTTAAGCGAATTCCTTTCACCTTACAAACCACTTTTTCAGAATTATCTTTTGTAGAAAAAACCTTATAGGCGTAATTTTTTGGACCACCGCTTACAAATTCTGTAGCATAACTACCTTGGCCATAGCTTTCCAATTCATTAGTCATATCCCCTATAAACTCTCCAGTATGGGGTTCATATTCACCTTCACGACTTATGTAAAATATTGAGTCTGTATCGTAATATAAAACTCGATTATCTAGCTTTTCCAAGTATGTGTACAATTTTAGACGGGCTTGTGCGGTTGTGAATGCAGCAATAGAGACATTCACAGTTGATAAAGATTCTGTTACCTCTTCTTTGTATTGCCAGTTAATAACAATATTTCTTTCATTTATAGGTAAAATGTGGCATACTTCTATTGCTGCATTAGTTAACATCTCATACAACTCAAATGGCTCATTTATAATGTTTGTTTTTTGTAAGTTTTCTCTTTGTCCGAATTTACCCCAAAATGAATTTAACATCAATTTGGCAAATGATCGTAACCCAGGATTGTTCAAAATTTTTTCATATTCGAGCTGTATGTCTTCGTTTTGCAAAAAATCTTCAATATATTTTTCTTTTTGATCTTTAGTACAACACTTGCTGGGCCACCCTGAAGCTTCTTGTTTTATTTTTAAAAATTTATCCATCATTTTACTAAATAATCCTTCAGCGTTTTTAAGTTTATTATATTGTGATACGTCGTATTCCCATATTTCATACGTCTCCAATATCCTATAATTTTTTTCTAGAGCCTTAATAACTTCATCGATAACCCAAGTTCCTGTTAAGGCTCTTTCATCATTTGAATGTGTGCAAAATTTATTTTGATTTCTTTGTTCGCTGCATAAACGGCATAACGTAAACATTAATTTATTATTTTGCTTCAGCGGTAAAACCGGATGATACAAACGTTCAGGTGGCAATATTTTACACTTTATGAGACCATTTATGTTTTGTAAATTTAATGAATAACATTTAGTATTTCCAATATGGATTTTGGGATGTCCAATAGGGAATTTTCCGTATTTACATACATATGGATATAAGGAACACACATCAATATAATTTATTTTTTCTGCATTTTTGCACTTATAGTAACTAAATGTATTTCCTGTGCGACCACCATAAAATGCATCTCGAGGATATAACGGGGTACAGTTTACTAATGGGTGATTTTTTAAATGCTCTTTCTGTTTTGTACTTAGTAAACTTTCAAAGTCACAAGCCCACATTTCCACAACTTCGTAACCTAAATTTCTTAATCGGCTACTTTTTTCAATTGTTCTTGCATAGCGGTGATTTAGAGTATCATTTAAATCATCGTACAAAGGTTTGTCACGTTTATGTGGTAGACAAGAGGGGTGCCCATGAAAATAGCATCCGTAAAACTCAAAAACTTGATTAGTTTCTTGGCAATAACCGTCTACTTTTACACCGGCCACTATAGCTTCCCGTTCTTTAGCTGCATGTTGAATATTGATTTTACGGTTTTCCTCTTCAAAAACCAGCCACTGTATAGCCTGCTTTGACTGATTATCTGCATATCTATATCCATTTTTAGGAATCAGCCCGATAGTATTGGACTTAAGAAAATTTCTCCGGAACACTAAATTGCAGGCTGATGCTATAGTTGTGGCTTCTAAAAACGGTTCCACATTACATTCAGTTATGAACAATTTTCGAAACTTAAGGCAGGCTTCTCTTAATATTACAACATCATAAATACAGTATTCAATAATATCACGTTGCATATTAAAAACATCATTTTTATGATTTTCATGCCATTGCAGAAATATGTCACGTTCTTTTGGTTTCATGCTGTTTGCCCCGTAGTATTCTATTGCTGGTAAAAGGCCAACATAATTCGCATTTTTTATGGTGTTAAATTTGTATGGAAAGTATCCTTTTTTAAAATTTGATGGTAAATCAAAAGCTTTTGGGAGTTCGGAGAGAGCCATTGGAAAATAATTTAGCGAGTCTAGAAATTTTATGTTGTCAATTAACATCATTATAATTTTGGTTCCTCTCATGATTAATTTAGGTTTTAATACAGTTTCCTGTAATATATAATTTAAGATGAACTGATGATCAAACGCTTGTCCATTGTGAGCTATAACAATAATTTTTTTAAAAAGCTTTCTCAGTGCTAACAAATGTAAAACAAAGTTGGCAATAACGTCTTTTTCTTTAATTATTTTACTTCTAAATTTGCATTTTTGGCAAAACAACAGTTTAGATTCATCGATGCAACTATCACATCTCTGAGATAACACACATAAATTTGGTTCGTGAAGCCTTTCATTTTCACTAATTTTTTTTTCTTGTCGTGTTTCTAAATCATAAAATACGTAAATAAAGTTGCTTAATGGTGGTTCTTTGTCGTCTTTTTGAATAAAACATAGATGTCCTTGACTAACATGAATATTACAGGTTTTGCAAAATGATTCCCCGCAAATATGTTGTCGATTAGATTTATATGTCTTAAGACAACTTAAACATTTTTTCACTTCATCACAAATACTTTTGCTTTTTGAACCCGATGCTTTATGGTTTTCTAAGCAAATAGGGCTTCGAAACAGTCTGTTGCAATCTTTACATAAAATATTGTTTCCATTTGATCGGCATTGTGGTAATTGTTGACAACATGGGCATATACGAGAACATCTGTGGTCATTCTTTCCATGATACGGAATATTACACTCCTCACAATAATATGAAGAGCAAAAAGCCGCAGTAAGAGAGGTAATTACATTAAAATGGTCATCATAATGTAATAAATTGATCCTTTTACCATGATTACTCCCTTCAAATATCACATCTCTACCACCACCTCCATATTCATAAACAACAATTTTGTAATTATTTAAATGACTTTGAAATTGTTTTAATTCTGTTACTCCACAGCCGAGTACGGGAATTATGACGTTAGCTTGTTTTACCAATTCTTGGGCTTTTGTTAATTGTTGCTTATTTACATCTCGTCGAATTTTTTCATAGTTTACATCATTTTCTATTTTGGCAATAGCGGTAATTAGAGCACGGGGCAAACATAAGTTATCTTTATTGTTAATACTAATTATTCCAGTTCGTTGCTTACATTCCTCAACAAAATTGTTATATTTCTTGGGCCTTCCTCTACCAACAGGTAGACTGACATGTGTTACTGTCACACAAAAATTGTCCGTATTTAAACCTGTAACAAAAAAAAATTATGTAATAAAAAAGATAATACAAAATCAAAATGTAGTAACAACTTACCCTCGGAATTACTTTGAAAAATTTTTGAAATTATATCCCATACGTCTTCAAATTTTAAACTTTCAGCTGGCCTATAAGCAAGCCACGCAGGACCGCGGTGTTGAAAACTTTCTCCACAAAAGGTCAACCCGACCATGTCACTTTTTGTCAGGTTTTGTAATACATATTTAATGATTTTTTCCACGGCTTCCCTTACCCAAGTAATCGGGTCTTCATTGGTGGGTATTGGATTTATTTTAAATATTATTTTTCTCCCACGTACCTTAAAACGCTTGATAATTGTAATATAATCGCTTTCAATTGTATAGCGATTCGAATTTAAAAATTTTTGTAAGATAACTTTTTTAGACATTATGTTGTTTTTAAAATGACTTTTCCTAGCAAAATGATAGAAATAGAAGTTTTTACTCTTATTATAATGTTTCTTTCATTTTCAACGATCAATGTTTTTATTATAAATAATCTTCAACATTGTAACAATTATAAAATACTACCTGTCACAGGCTGTAATCGTATAATTTTGCATACACAAAATAATTCATTAAAGATAGAGAAAATTAAATTCATTAAAAATTGAGAATGAAAAAGGATCTATAAAAATGATAAATTTATTAATTTAACTTGTTTCTTTTGCAGGCTTTTTTTATAGTAGGTTTATTTAATAATTTTTTAATAATAGATTACTTTGTACTATCTTGAAAGAAAACAAGTATTCTATATCTACCTTTTTGTAAGAATTTTTAATTAATTTACAATTTTACAAAAATATGTAATAATTATATCCTGTTAAATGTTGTATAAATACTGAGAGAATTTGCTACCAACATTATCAGTTTTCAAAATGGAACCAACCGAGGTTGATCTTATTTTGCAGGAGTTCATTACTCCATACAACGCTGTGGTAACGGACTGTCAGACAGTTGTTCCACCAAAACGCAAAAGAATGAAGCTGCACCATGAGGTGCATATGAGCCAACAACAACAACAATCACAACAACAACAACAACAACCACAACAGCAACAACAACAATCACAACAACAACAACAACAACCACAACAGCAACAACAACAATCACAACAACCACAACAACAACCACAACAGCAACAACAACAATCACAACAACCACAGCAACAACCACAACAGCAACAACAACACCAACAATCACAATCGGAACTATTGTTTATTAACGCGTTTAATGAACAGCAAAATTTTTTTTCAAAAAAATATATAACTGTTTCCGAAATGGAAACAGATAAAATCTACGCCTTAAATGGCGTAGAAAAAAAAATATCCCAAAAGGGGAAAATTTATTGGGTGTTTATCACCCAATCCTTTTTTATTTTCATGCCGTTAAAATATGTGAATTTATTTTCACAAAAAGAAGAATATTGCCAAATGGCAAATTCAAACAAATTTTTAATTAAAAAAAATAAGCATGGAAATTTAGAACTAAGTTCAAAGTAGTTTTTATAAGTAACGATTAAGTATAATGAAAAATAAAAATAAAATTTTTATAATAAATAAGAAGTTTTTTGTTATTTACAAATTTTTCAAATTTTTCAGAATTTCTATTACAGCTCATTTTAGTTTTTTCAGATTTAAAATAAAAGGTAACTAGACCTACGTACATATGGATGTTGTATAATAATTATTACAACAAAAATTTTATAGGTACCTACATCTTAATTTTTCTTATCCGTAATTCTTATCTACAGGCGTGTTCTTTTCACTTATAGGTATTAAGGTCTTAAGCTATGTTGTACATTATACATAATATATACATATGTGCATATCATATTTTATTTTTGGTTCTTTACATATAAAAAATAAAAGTAAGTATGTTATATAATATATGCGTATTATTACATAAAGAATTTTTTATGTTCCACTTAACAGCTTCATAATCAAAACCAGGTAATTACTATTAAAAATACAGTTCTATGTTATATATTCTTCTATTACATAATATTTTTAAACCTCCAGCACTTTTTCTTTTTTCTTTTTATTTAATTTTCTGACCTTAAATAAAAATATTATTCAAATATGTAGGTATATGCATCATAAGATTATTTCTTTTACCTCTTTTAACGCGAAAACAAAAACAAGAACAGCAAAACAAAAACAATGACCTCGACAGGTAAACAACATTCTGTAAACAAGATTAATGACCTGTTAAACCAGACAACTCCTCAACTCGTAACTTAACTTTTCAGGCCAACTTCCTAAAACTTCTTACTTCCTAAAAACGTATAATTAAACTCGTATCACCTATATACTTCAAAAGGTCAACACCAGTTATACAGGTCATGACACACTTTAGCAGGTCATCTACCTATACCAGAACAGAAAGTATGCCATCATTATTACAAATTGAAAACTATAAGTTTTTATGCCCTATTGCTGCACATAATGGAATTAAAAAATTAAGATGTGCTGTAAAAAATGCAATAAACATTTACATACATTTGATAAAGGAAAAAATACTGAATTAACTACATAATAAAAATATGAAAACAAAAGTTCACTTTAACTTGAAATTAAAAATTCATTATATGTATGCATGGGATTTTGCTTACAGAATTGCTCGAAAAGGAATATACGATAAGCTTGCACGAGATAGGAACCGGTTTCAAAGACGTATACAAATATTTGAACCAGTGATATCTGCAATTCTAACCTGTAGTCATCGAAAAAAAATATTTAAAGAAAGATTCCAAGAACAAATATGTACTATATATAATTATATTAAAGAAAAAGTACAAAAAAAAAAAAAATGTGTTTTGTAATTTATAGGTATATACGTTCTATAGAACATTCTACTTTAAGAAAAATACAAATGCGTAATGTATTAACAACTAGACTTTTTTTTGATTAACCAGTTTTTTTTGCATTTAAGTACAATCAAAGAAAATGAAAACAAGAATTTGTTTTTATTTTCAACGCAACTATTTGCATCAACAACAACAAATTTCATGCATCTTGTTTTTCTTATGCAAAAGTAAGCAATAAAGACATTCCTGCTATTTCTTAATTATGCATAGTAAAAACAAAAACAATGCGGTGCGCAAGCAACTAAATACAATAACAAGAATTAAGGTAGAAGGAAAATAAAAATTATAGGTACCTCAATGTAAATAAAACAAGTTTTTTCCTTTTTTACTATCAAGGTAAAATTAAAAATACATACTTTCTGATTTTTCTGATTACCTAATACTATTTTTAAAATATTTAATTTAAATTTCCTTATCTGCTGGACAACTCCGGCAAAGGAAACTCACATGTAAACAAATCATGCAAAGTCTCAAGTACGCTGAACTCGGACAAGTAAACAACTTGCTTTGCAACCTTTGACCTCATTGACCTGGCGACCACCTCAGCTTCGTACATTCATATGTACATGGGTCATAACACACTCAAACAAGTCATCTACCTATACCAGGAAATAAACGACCAGTTATACAAGTCATGACACACTTTAGCAGGTCATCTACCTGTACCAGGAAATAAGAAGTGAAAGTAGGTCGTGCGATATGGGCTGATTTTTTCCCATCCCAGAGTGCCAGAATACCTACTTGCTTAGTATACGAAATAAATGAAAAATTCTTGTTATTTGAATTACTAAGCTAATTTATAGTATACTGCGTATACGCGATGTCATGTAAATAATTATTCCAGCCATAATCTTTTCAATCACAATCTTATTTCAGCCAATTTCTAGACTGAAAAATCTAGAATCCAATTCTAGATTAGTTTCGTTTTTATAATTCTTGACTGTAATACTTTAATTGACAGGAATATACAATTTTGTTATAATAAATTATAATAATTTTTAAAAGTGTCTGATGTTCTAAACAAGATAATTGTGAACCTTTGATAGTTTTTCAAAGAAAGCTTTAGTTAAGTAGATATTTTATGTAGAGCAGAATGCTTTCATCGATTTAGTTCTCCCTTACGTTGTAGAATGTTAACATTGGAATACAAAAAAATTTTTTTTTGCAGTGACTAGCACATGTGTTTCGTTTACTTTCTATATGTATTTTAATTATAATTTTGAATTTATGTAACTATTTTTTTTTAAATAAAGTGAGATATTCCTTACGCCTTTTTGTCAACTTCTAATTTTTAACTTAGGCCAGATTTTGAAGAAAGTGCCGAAAAATTGGTATAATTTTTAATAATAATATTTAAAAAAGATTTAACACTAGTATTTGAACTTTAATTTTCGGCTATCCAGCAAGTTCTTGGGTAATTTTATAGATCTAAGCTATTTCGTTGTTGGCTATTATAATAAACTTTGAAATTTGCGTAACATTGATCTCTTTATTTAGGGAATTTTATACCATTACCATAATAAGTAGTCAAATCAAATGCATTATTATGCACTCTGTTAATGACAATATACGATTTAATTTGGAGCACATAATTAAATTTTTAAGAAGCCATTTAACTTATAACAACATTAAATACATAATATGTACCTACATACACTACATCATTGCAGAATTCTTCCCTTCTTTACGGTTATGTGAGTGGCAATGACAAAACTATAAAGAGTCAAAATTTTAAATAAGGTATAAAATCGAAAAACTTTTTCGAAACTATAATAAAACTTTTTAATTCTCTTTTAAATTTTAAAAGCTATTGTAGATAATTTTAAAAGATAATAATTATAAAATGGCTGGTGTATAGAGTAAGAATATTACTATAGTAAATTCTTGCATATTTTCTAAAATCTGACTTCATAGTACTTTAGTTCAGTATAGTATATAAGAATTGTGATCAACTTTATTATTTTAATTTTTTATTAATTTTTTTTTGATTTTTAAATTAAGTAAGGGTCACGTACATTGTTAAAAAAAATCCTTTACTTTTTCTCTTTTGTTTTTTTTATTTCTTATTTATATCAGTAAGTTTTCTATGAGATTTTGTGCTGAATAAAAGAGTTTTCATTGAAAATTCGTTTCGTTTTTTTTTATAATACAAAAGTTTGGGAGTGTAGATAGACTATATTTTCCAGTTTTCCATATACTTGTAGAAAAATAAAAGTAATGTAATTTTTTAATTACAAACTTAGATACTTATTATTATAATGTTAACACATTTATGTGAACTTATGAGGGTATTTTTGAGTACCTGAAACATAGACAAAAATAAATGAATATTTATAATGCAATATTTCTGTTCGTAGAGAATGTCTTTCACAATTTAATATTTTAGTTGAATAATATTATAAAAGTTATGATATACGATGGATATAAAAAGTATATAAACATTTTTTTTGCAAGAAAATCGTGTAAATGTAATTTTATATTTTTTATATTATTAGAACAAAAATTTAATGATTTTAGACAGGATATTGAACGTAAAATTTTTTACTAGCCTTGTCCTGGTTCAAAACTAAAAATTTGCTTTATTTTTATGATAAGTGTTAATATTCGAAGAATAAAGTTTAAGATATTAGATTCCACATACAGATCAAAAAAATTGCCTAAGGTTAGATTTAAAATCTAAGTGGTTCCCTGGCTACGGGAATTTAATGAAAACAAAAATATTTAATTTTTAAAAGTCATATTGTTTTTTGTCTATATCATTTATAATTCCAAAAAATACAAAACTCTTAAACAAAAATACTTTTAAAGGGTTAGCAGAGGGTTTGAAACTAGGACAATAGCCTATTTTGTGTTCTATGTAAGTTTTAAAATAATAAGAAAAATCAAGTCTTGAAATAACTTAAGAAAATATTTATTTTTTTTTTAATTTTTAGTGATTTCCTAGATTTTCTTATTCCGGGAATTTCAATTGAAATTTTCCAAAATTGCAAAATTTATTTTTACACAATTTTTTCCTATTACTGAAGCTTCAATTTTGGTTAAAATATTTTAATCTTTTATGATCTAGTTCTGGAGATAAAAACCCATTTGAATTTCACCATCTTAAAAATTTTATTAAAAATTATGAATTCCAGAAATTAAGAACATGACTCAAAATAAAGTGAGGTGGCGAGGTTGTGTGGAGGCCCTAGGTTCCCTCGGGGAATTGTAAAAGGAGAAAAAATGCACCAATTAGCATCCATTACGTGTTAGATTTAATCACAAAAATATCATTTGCCGTCATGAATTTCTTAAAATTTTTATTAAACCCAATAATTTGTAAATTAAGATGAAAATTTAATTTGATATATATGAAACCAATATGAGTAATAATAATTTTTTGTATTGATCCTTTTTCATTATTATGTCCTTGTATTGGCATACAATAAATTTTGTAATGATTTC